CAATATTTTTGGAAGGTCATTTATATACAGTATAATAGGAAAAGCAATGGGCCCAGTATGCTACCCTGCGGAACTCCCACGGAACAAGTTGGCAGATGATACGCATTCTACCAAGGAGTGATAGGTCTTTAATTTAAATTTGACAGTATTTTTAATTTCTGTTAAAATTTCTTCTCTTGTTTTCTGGTAACTGGAAATAAGATGTTCATCATTATTCTCCACATTTCCTTATCTGTCTTGTTGATTGTTATAAAAGGGGTGGTCAAGGCTTTTTCAGGGGGTTCACATTCTGATCCTCATACCTGGTTCCTAAGGAACTTTTCTACTTGTCTAGATATCTTTGCCTCGCTGTAATTTTCATTTACTCTAATCAAACCTCTTGTAATGCTGCATGCAGTAACTTGTCAATCTACTGGGGGTGGGGGGGGATCAGCTTCCAAGGTAGCGAGTGCCCCCCTCTGGCTCCTCCCATGTTTCTTCATATGATGATCGTTGTTGACAGACTCCTCTGTTGTCTCCACTCACAGCGGTATCCAGGTCAGGTGACTCTGAGGTCCAGCCGGCAGCGTCTGAGTCAGACTCGGAGGCGAGCCGGCCAGCAGCCCTGTACCCAGGCGGTCAGCGTTCAGACCGACTCCGTCTCAGATCTTCCACAACTCTCTGCTCCTCCTCCAGCTGATACCTGCAGCTGTGACAGTGTGTCCTTACCACCTGTTGACCTCCAAAGTCAGGACGCTCCTCCTCCTTTCCTCTCCCTGCCTCCTTTAACATCACCTCCATCTATCCTCTCACTAGGAACCCCGCCCCCACCTCCACCACCGCCCCCTCCTCCTCCTCTACCCCCTCCTTCACTTCCTCCTACTGAGAGCCTCACCACCAGTCCAGTGCAGCAGCGTAAATGTGAGTCTGAATCCACCTCGCTGCCGCTGGCATCGTTTTCTCCTCGGTTTTTTGACAACAGCCAGTTGCTGACAGCAAGGAAGAAGCTTCGCAAAACCACTTCTCTGGATTCGTCACAGTGGAGGAGAGGTGAGAAAGTCTTCTTACTTATAACACCTAAAAATACTTCTTTTTAAACAGCAAAAAATTATTATATCAGTACTTGCTGGAAAATATGATGCTGCTTAATGAAAAAGCAATTGAAAATCCATCACCTTTCCTTTACTCAATAAGCGTTTGAGAACTGGACACGAACTGTTGAAACTTTGTTGGTGGAATTCTTTCCCATTTCTTGCTTGATGTTCAACTTCAGTTGTTCAACAGTTCAGAGTCTCCATTATCCTATTTTGCTCTTCATAGTGTGTCACACGTTATCAATAGGAGACTGGTCTGGACTGCAGGCAGACCAGTTTAGTACCTGCACTCTTTTACTATGAAGCCAGGCTGATCTAATATGTGCAGAATGTTGTCTTGCTTAAATAATCAAGAACGTCCCTGAAAAAGATGTAGCTCATGCTGCGTTCACACCGAACGTGATTTCAGCGTCAAAATCGCATCCAACGCTGAAGTTTGAAGCTTGTGCACTTTGAGGTCAGACGCAGGTCAGCTCTTGAAGCGCTGCACGGCAAGAGCCTCTCCACCCC